CACACTTGGGTCAACTCAAATTAAGCAAATCTGCCAAACCAACTTAAGAATGAAAATTTCTTAATAATATCAGACGATACCGCTGTATTCTGCTCAATAAAATAAAAGACGGGAAAGAGGACCATCCTAGGTCGTTTGACGCATTGAGGCCCATCGGTTTCGCTGTAACCCAACAGTTCGAGTCGTGGAAAAAAAAGCCAAACAGTAATTCAATCCAGACGCTTTTCAAGCACTCCACATCTTCGCCTTAAAGGTAAGGATAGATTCCCGTTTCAGACGTCTTCAACGCGCATCTACGCCTTTACTCGCTCCCGTGGGGCAGGTTATATTGGTCGAACAGCTAGGCAGCCATCCAAGCGCATGCGAGAACGCCATACTGCCTGGTTAAACCCAGACGAGATAGTCTATATACAGCGCGATTTCGGTTCAGTTGGTTGACAGCGGTCACGGGGTAGACGTGAACCAAGCGTTCCAAGTCATTCATAAAGCGCCGACGAAACACTTCAAGGTCCTGCATCAGTGGATACTTGCGACGGCAGAGGCAGTCACCATACGGCTAACTAATAAAACTTTATGCGTGCAGAAGGCGTTTGTACAGACACGAAGGCTCCCTTGACCGAAGGTTAATTCAGCACGCGTTCACACGCCTACCACGCCGCAGGACGGTGACGAGACAGCAACAGTATGCGTCCTCACGCCGCCTTTAAACGTCGCGGGACAGTGAAACCATGCGTCCTCACGTCTTCTACCACGACGCGAGACAGTGACGACGGGCGACATGAACTAATTGTCGGACACCTCTCTCTAACCCCTTGTTAGTCGCATAAACTGTCCAGTGTAACTTTCTTACTTTCTCACTTATTTTTATTGTGCTGAGGATGGATTTCTGTCGGCAGCTTGAAAACTCACAATTACAACTTGATTATTTCGAAGAACTGCATCTTTCTTTCACTATAACGCTCGGAATGCAAACTCTCTCTAACCTACACTTTGTTATTTCTAGAATCTGATCCATTTACACCTGAAAACCTATCTCTCTTACTTACTACTGTTTAGTTCCTTTAAGCTATGTCCACTCTATCCCCTTATATTATTTTAATTGCTTGATGAGGATTAATCGAAAACGTACTTTCGCCTAACTTGACTTCCAGCAGTAAAGGACACTTGAAAAGGTAAGATGACAATATAATTCTATCTTCACTGCAGTTCGAGAGGATTTTCGGATCTGTAATACCGCGAGTGCGTATTATCAACACTAGCTTATTGGCCACATACACTTACATTTTACATAATGTCCCAATTTCCCTTAAGAAGACCAAGCCTCTGGCGCTTTCAACTTGACATGGCAAGTACTACTTGGTTTCTTGTCTCCTCTGAAAGGACAAAGGTGAGGAATGGTCAAATACTTGGAATGTCGCTTGTATATAGACAAGTGGCATGACCACGTGGCCAGATGGAGAAACGCTAACACTCTCCGTCTTCCAACTCCAATGCCAGACAATTCATCGGTCAGCCGTCAGGCTATCCCACTTCTCAATGCGGCACGATCACATAAAATTCGCTAGCGTACTGAAACTCCTTTACATTGCCCGCACTGTCACATTGCTATAAAAGATGAGTGCATGATCGGAAACTAGTTCCAAACAGGGACCCTTAAACTAGCAGAGGGTAACTACAGTTTTGAAGTCAAAATTCTGAAATAGTGAGAGGATAACATGCATGTGCAGTACAGAGCAGAAAAGACAAGAAGGGAGAAGGAGAGCGTCCACTTCAGCACAAAATAAAGGCGAGGGGACGTTTTCGGAGCTGACGAATCGAACAAAGTTAAGATGAGAACATACGGAATCGGTGAATTTTGTACCATAAATTGACTGGAAGATGCTTAGGAAAGAAGAAAACTCAATTTGTCAAAATTTACCATCAATCAATCAATTAACCAGCGCATTCCGGGTAAATGACAGAAGCCCTTGAAAAATCCATTTAAACGACACAGGTCTGCACGAAAAGCAATTAAGTTGCAAACATTTTGCAAGTAATTTTAGTACGCAAAATGCATAAGATTTGTAGTAAATCAGGAATGTTAAAAGGGCGTAGAATTTGTGAAATATGTTCAGCAGTGGTAAATTTTATGTAGATAATATGCGTTATTGAAATCAAGGTAGTAGCATGTATATTATGATGATTCATTAGATGGGGTTTTAGGAGTTCTGACCGATCACTAATAGAAGAGTATTGAGACGCCTCTTGAACATACTAACATCGAAGGAGCGCACGACATAAGATAGAAAGAATTTTACAAAAGAATGACTGGATGCGAGGAAAGGGAGTGGCGTTGATTGGAGTGACATTGTCCCTTTCTAAGTTGGTCACCTGGGATTCATCTTCGGTATCATTTTTAAAAGATTTTCCCAGTCAACATTAAAATCAAGCTCCTTAGCGATTAAAACTCTAAGTAAGGCTACCTCTGTCCTATCTATAGTGGAAGAGGTAGATATTAAAAGCGATCGGGCGCTAACCATAGGTCAAATTTTCGAGTTCACAAACAGCCACCGAAGCACGTCGCTGAACACCTTTAAGACTAATCGGCCTTCCGAAGCCAAGGCCGCCAAATCTGTACCGTATACTCGAAGTACGGCGGCAAAAATGCTCCACTGACCTTGCCAAAGATATCAAAATTCGGGTTTACAAACGTTAACACTGTCCGCGCTGTGACCTTGGAACACAACTCTATTACGCCTAAGTGGTCCTTAATGAACACACAAAGGTCTTTTTGCCCATCGAAGGCTCGAATTGGTTGTTTCTACAGGACATACTGCCAAGAAAGTAAGTTTCTTCGTTGTGCTGCTGACAGCACCACACAGTTGTTGACAGCGAGTTTCACGCATCAGATCTTGCTCTATGCCTACAGCTTTTTAATGGCCTGTTAAATTATCTGAGTGACGTTCATCCTTTAGTACCCTGCCCAACTCAATATAGTCAGCAAACGTCCTTTACATAGATTATAAATAGGGGCGTTTAAGAACTGATTATTGTGGGACTCCACTTTTGCTAAATTTTCATTCTGAAGAGAAGCTGCCAGCAGTAGGTTGCCTCTAATTCTTGGGTATGACGTCTCTTAAATGAGGCGCTTATGTGGAACGAAATCGAAGGACTTGCTTAAGTCAAAGCAAATGACGTCGAATGGAAGTTTTTTTATCTACTGCTTTTATCAAGGTTCGAGCGATGTAAGAAAGCTAGTGAGACAGCACCTCTTGTCGCAGGAAACACGCTGGTCTAAGCTGGTTCGACAATGGACAGTATTAAGCGGGATAGTTGATGTTGTAACCAACCTCTACGTAAGTTTACGGCAGACTTGCCGGCAATTATTGGGATATAGTAGTCATCTTATTTTGTGCCAACTTTTATTGATCTGGAAGGTTCCCGGTATCAGCCGATTGTTGGAAAATTGAACACAGTGTTTCATTGACAATAGACTGAAGCATGCCAAGTTTGCAAAGGTAGAGTTAAAATAGAAGGGCTAGGCCCAAAACCACGACAAAGAAAATAATGAAAAGCAACACAGGACTCACGATTCTTGTGTCTACCTGGGACTGGATCCTCGGTGGTGAAGGGCCGTTTATCGCGAACAAATTTCGCAGTGTCTGGGATTGTAGCAGCAATTGCATCAAAACAGGCATTTTCCACCTCAGAAGTGCACACTACTGGACTGTGTACCATCGCAGCACCCTGACTGAGGCTGTCATGTGGACCAATGAAATTCAGCCCTAATGTAGAGGCGCTCAATTCACCTCTGGATGCACTTGAGACGATGGAAGGTTCAGCATAGGCTAGTGAGCCTCCACCAGTGACGTGCAGCCGTTTGGCCTCTTCAAGTGCGGCTAGAAATGCGCGCTGAAGGAAGTTCTAGCTCAAGATTAAATAATACAAACCTTGTCCTGTATTGATTCAAACTGAAAGAGACGATAGTCCGAGAAAACAATCAGTTTCACCAAATTTTGAGACGTATTTTGGGAACTCGCCTTCACATTCACAGCAGCGATATTCTCAATTTCATAGAGAGCTTGCTTTTGATATTTGCTGTGTTCGAAACTAAACATTAATGAAGTGGACAGAAAACCGAATGAAGCTCCAGAGAGGATTTTATAGATTACAAATCCGATTTATGTTTGTTGTTTCATATGAGCTACTGCAATTGCCAAGTTTTATGAATGGTTTGAATAACTTCACGTTAGGTGCATAAGCTACGATGGGGCGGCAAGAGGGCTGTCCTTTAGTACAGTCACTTGCAGACACATATGGTGCAATGAACAAAGTTATGATTACAGAAAACTCCTGTCGGAAAGGATAATGTTTGGTTGGGGTGGATTACATAAATTGTATTAAGCAATAGTCCAAAGTGCTGCAAAATGAGATATAAAACGATGATTGTCATGTCAACTGAACAGCCTTTATGCTTATTTAAGATGGATGAAGTAAAAAATTAAGCCTTCTATCACATCAAGTATGGGCGACGCATGAAAAACCGAAAGTCTGAGAGTTTCGAGGGGATTAGAAGTCCTATGACGTAGACGAACTAGTTATCACCCTGCATGCGAATAAAGTCGGATATGGTATGGTTTTGGTGGTAGGTTGCCATCTGCTCTTTAGAATATCAGACAAGCAATTAATGTACTCTGATGAACGTCCTTTTTTCACTCACACTTTCTAGAAAACAAATTCTTACGAAAAATGTTAAAATTTCGCGAATAAAGAAGGAAAATTTGTACAGAAAAACTCACGAATCCTTATGTGCCTTCGCAACAAGAACGTAATCAGACAGAAGTAAAAGATGCACATCGCCCTGCCGTAGATGTGAAGTCGAATTGACTTCAAGTGCATCGGCTTCGAACAACAAGTAGCGATTGGGGTCTGCAATCAAATTCTAAGGAAAGTGAATTTCTAGTAAATAGGAAAATTTACGGAAATGCCGTCCACGCTATGCAACAAAGAAGAAAGTCCTGATACGGCCTTAGAGTTACCGTCTACCGTAGTAGAATTATTTTTGTGACTGGTGCTGTCCGGGAAGAGAGACTTCTCAGTTAGATTTTTAAGAATACGTTTCTGCTCGATGAGTTGATTGTCCAGCTGGTGCATGGTTGCTCCAAGACTTGTGACTGCCTTTCCAGCCTCGATGAAGAGTTTAAAGTTCTTGTAAATAGCCCGTTTCATTTGACCAGAAGCTTCCTCTGCCATTCTATTGAGGTTTTGTACGGTGTGCAGGATGTCCGTTCCACCATTTTCAGAGACGCGCGCGATGACTAAAATATTCCATATGGGAAAGATTGGTGAAGTAATAGGGGAAAACTGATTAAAAGGCAAACTGGAAATGCGGCTCAACCGGATTTTTACCTAGACCAAAAGCATCAGGGCTGAAAGAGAGGAACCCACTGGTAATATAGTTAATAAGATTAATAGCGGTATTTACTAAATGGTGATATTTTAGAACATAGCGGACCAGACAAAATTATGACAGAAAATACAATCAGGCCTTTAAACGTATAGAATGAACAGTGAACACAGAAAGGATGGTGCATCCACCAAAGCCCATAGGCAGACAAAACATTCTTTACCAGACTCATTTTAATGTTCCTGGAGGGAACAATACCATTGCTTACAAAACGCCAATTATTTTCTATATATTTGCAGATAGCTATTGTATCAAAATGTAAAAACATCCGTTCGAAAAATAAGCACATTCCTCGGCTATGCAGAGAAAATAGCGACTTGTCAATACACACTGACTTAAATTCGGCGAACACGCCGTATTGTGCCCATAGAGGATGCGTACGGCACCGATGAAGCCAATTTCTAATGGTAAAAACTCCAATAACACACAGGAAACAGTTGTGTCCTGACACACATTGATTGTTCTAAAGGACATAACTGTTCAGGTTACTGTTTTCTCCACACTATAGTAGACCATTCAAATAGAAGGTTCAAACACATGACTGAACCGGAGTGAACTGAACATGCGGATTCACTTAAGATTACCCTAGACTTGCTGGACCCAGCACTCAATGAACGCTTGGACACTCTGGAAAGGGCTGTAGCAGCGACCTGCCGACGTATGGCTAGTATGTCAAAAACACTGAACCTCCTAGTAAGCGGTAGGTTAAGAGTGCTAGACAATGCTAAGGAAGAATAGACTGCAGACCAACTTCCTATAGATTGTGTCAGTTGCTAGATGATTTTAGAGATAGGTTAGTATTTTTAGGACATACTACCCTAAGACAGAGAATTCAGAATTGCCATTTCTGCTTCATTAGGCGTCGTCAGCTGGATATACTCTATTCAAGCATTTTTAGTATATATATCAACGACCTCCTCGAGAACAGTGAATTCCATGCTCAACCGGCAGGTCACAACATTTACCATTATAAATAGATTTAAGTCTTCTATCTCGCATACTTTGGTGAACGAATACTGGATGACTTCATCAAGAGCATATTTTATGCGATTTTGCTGATGAGATAAACCTGCACATTAATTTAAGGGACATGAAAATGAAAAACCGCCCTTCCGGGTCAGAAGTCTATTAAGTGATCAAGGGTGTTCCCTGATGTTTGTGGCTACTCTATATAACAGAGGTCTTGGTGGAGTGGAATAGAGATGGAAAGGGCATCTTCGCTGACTGTGATTCAGCGGTAAACAAACGACTCTTAAGGTTGCTTGACACACGAATACGCAAACAGCCAGTGAGCATACCGAATACATGACTTGATAATCACTATTCATCTCTAGATCTAATACCAAATCATCGTTCGCGGAAGAGGCCCAGGCAGTACTGCCGTCGCCTACGGATGAGCACCGTCACATTTACTTCTGATCATTTATATATAAAAATTTTGATTATAATTTTTTAACACGCATTTTAAATTCGTAAACGCCTTTTCATTACATGTTCGCATACATTAGCGCGTGAGTGCCATCAGACATCTGACACGTGCGTACGCAATTGGGTCGTTCATAGAAAACTACAAACAGTGGGTTAAAACGTCCTGTCGGGGACAAAGAGAGCAAAAGGGAATAAATTAGAAGCGAGCGTTGGTATTAAACTAAGTAAAGGGATTATGCGTAATGTTGAACGTATTCTAGTCACCGTTTCCGTAAATCTCGAAAATTCGATAAACGCTCGATCAATATTTTCCGGACAAAATCAGCATTGATTTAATATATGAATGGCAAAATACGCTATCCGCCCGTCATCGAGGCGTCATACGCCTGCTACTAGGGAAGGAATTCCGCGACCTGAACGACAATAGCATCCACGTAAGAAGGAGCAATATAAGCATCGTAATATACATTACGAAAACTCTCCGCATTCAAAAAAGTTATATATACGACTGCACATGGTCCGAAAATTTGGGTTTTATTATGTATACGTAGTAAAACCCAAAACCGCCATGATAACATCAAGTTTCCTAGGTTTAGCGCCAGACTAGCATATACAATTATCAGGCTATGTTGCGTTTCGTTGTCTGGTTGGTAGACAGTGTTCAGACTGCCCAACCTGGTGAGTCTAACGGACTCAACTTCGAAATTGAAGACTAATATAAAACCGCAGCTTCGAAGTTGAGTTGTTATGACACATATGTGTTATAACACAGCGCGTATTTGAAGAAAACATGGATAACACGAAAGGATTACAACGTACATTTATCAGGGTTGAAGTTGGGTTTATTAAACAGTCTCTTTAAGCCAGCATCGGCCGAAGAAACCACATCAGCCATCTCCGAGATTTATGCAGGCACTTTCAAGAGTTATCAAAGCGTCCGGTGGAATTTTAGTATAGACAAACAAATGGCCCCTATGAGTAAGAATGTTTAAAGACATGTTTTTAAAGTTATACAGTTTAATTCGCGCTTAAATTCGTGAGATGGATTCCTGAAGAATCTATTCACTGATTAAAATTTTAAAAGTATGATTTATGATTCATTTGGCCAATTTGTTAAAAGTGCAGCGGCGTAGGTTCGATTCGAATGTAGAAAGCAAAAGACAGAGAGGAATATTCTCAAATGTACTTTCTGAATCTGTTGCGGCCATTTTACAGTTAACACGTTTTAAATAAAGCTGTACAATCATTACTGAGAACGTCATAGTCTGTGGGTCGACGCACATTTTCCTATTATTTAAATGTTCTTAAGTTAATCTTTTTGTACACAGCGCAATTAGTAAATGCGAGCATGACTCTGCTTAAGGGCTGGCAGTGGCCCAAAGACATTAGCGTCACCTAGCACATTACTAGCAACCATATGCGCTATTCACTTAGCTGAAAGATGCGGTGTATTCATGTGTAGCTTCATCGCCTTGCGTATCCGGTAGCATCGCCGCCGTCAAGACGAAAAATACAGCCTGCGGGTCACACACTCAACGGACGAACAATGTTTACGTCCACGCTCTTCAAACCCACCCGCGGTGCCGTGCATGTATGGGCTTTGTTGGTCATCTCCGGTCGAAATGACCATACCTCCTACGACATCAAGTTCAACGGCAACGAACCCTCCAGCAGTCCCTCCTGTTTGCAACCCTCTAATGACGACCACTATAATCACGGACGCTCAACTGCCCGATGCCCCGTTGCTTTCATCTGTCGATAGAAGCCTCCCTGCTGCGACTCCCTTATTGACCACCACGGACAGC